GATTATAATCGAAGATGAAATTTGGGTGAGGACACAAAGCCTAACCATATCAATATGTGTGCATAACCAAATATACACACAAAGGCAATTAAAGAAATAAAATGTTGACAGTGATCCAGGCATTACAATCAACCTGCTTTCTTGTGCTTCTCTTCATTTTTTAATACATATGTTGTTAATTTTTATCAAAAAGCATAAACTTATTCCAAATAGAATAGGTTATAGATGTTTTGCAGTCCTATTTGATGCTCATTATTAACAAAACCATTCATGTGCAATAGGCAAATTTTTATGAAAAGAATAATAAGATGACAATGTGGTCCTGTGATAAAGATTAAAAGTATTTTAGCTTTCTAAGTTCAAGACAAAAGGCCTAAGAAGAGATGGACTATCTCTTTTTATATAGCTAGAGTGTTATTGTGCTAAATTGTCTTTATCAAAAGATCAAGCCTTCATTTCCGAAGAAGACTGGCCAGAGAAAAGTTCCAGTAGTAGAAAGAGGAAGTATATCTATATATTAGAGTGAATATGAAAGTTAATTGCTAAAGATGACTAATTATCATTTGATCAGTTGTAGGTACCAGTACTAACACTCAAAATAATTACTATGTAGGCATTAATGTTAACTTTAAAACAAATTACTAAACATGAAGCATAATCGCCAGGAAAATAAGCAACATCATATTTCATAGGTTACATAAATTGTTCCAGTCCTTCATCTCTATTGCTACAAGGGATAGCCTTATAAAGCCATACTTTTATCGCAGAATAAATTCCATTTTGTCTTTCAATCCTTATGCTTGCATCATTATATTCATAGTGTCTAAATAAGTACCACTGATAGAGGGTATATACATGATCCTAAAGAGAAATATTGGTATTAAGTAAGGAGATATTCCTTATTTACCCTGGAAGGGAGAGACCACAGATAGTATCCATTTTCAAAGAGTGCTCAGTAATGAGGAAAGAAATCTGTTTCCCCAGGATTTTCTTTACTAAAATTTGGAGCATAGTGCAGAAAATGCATTGCATTGGGCACTTCACAATTCTGATGTTTAACAGCAGCTACATAAATGCAAATTTAAGTAGAGGGCTGAATGTATCTTTATTAGCACTCTTTCAAAGATACAGAGGGATTTTGGCAGGAAAGGCATCTGAGCAACAGCATGAAGCTTTTACATTTCCACAAGTTGAAATTGATGGAAATGTATTGACATGCTTGGCTTCTTTTCTTTTTATTTCTTGTGAGGGAAAGCCTCTCTCTCTTTCTCCGTCTTTTCCTTCCTCTATTTTTCTGTCCAAAGCCTTTATTCAGTTGATATTTTTGTTACCTAAAACGTATAACCTCCAAACTACAATCAACACATAGGTAACTCGTTCTATTAAGATATTTGTAAGCTTTACTGAGGCGTTTATGTAAGGTGTTTGAACAGCAGTCTAAGAGTGACCAGTAAAATAACTTTTAGTAGCTATGTAGTCAGTGATGTGGACAGAGTCAGCCTGGATTTCATTAATCTACTGGCCTTCCTTTTTAATGCTTATTTTAAAAATATTTTAGGAATAATTCAGCAAAGCATCATAGTGTGAGTGTTTCATAGCTTTGTGTCCTGAGGCAAGGTAATATTCTTCCAAGCCTCAATTTCCTCCCCTGTAAAATGAGTTAATACTGTAATATGGTCTAATATGGTATTGTATAGTAGGGTTCAGAGTATTTGCTGATAATCAGATAAGGCAATGCATATAAAACTTTTAGAACATGGCTGGTACAAAATAAAGAGTTGGATAAACAATATGTATTACTTTGAAAGAAGTAGTGGTAGGAATATGTAAAAACATTTTATTGCCATAGGTCAAGGTGGAGAACGTTTGTGATAATGTGCAGCAGAGAACTTGGAAGTCAAATGTAGGCCAAGGATAACTTTAGGAAGGAAAATCATGCCATTCTTTGATGATGATTATTCTCTTTAATTAAGCACCCAGTCTGTTCCAGGCATCATGCAAAGCAATGTGCATTCATTTTCCCTGTTTCTCAGAACAACTTGTTATTAATGATGTAACCACTCATTGAAGTAAAACAGTTCACCAAATTAAACACTAGCAAACAGAAATGTCAAACTCTGATCTCACATCTTGTCAATACCAAATCCTATTTTACTTGCTCTAAACCTCACTATAATTGAGAAGTTGCTCAGGTAAAAACACCCACCAGGAGATGCAGGCTGTCTCACACTGGATTTGAATTAAGTCAGGGGCAGAAAGCCTGCCCTCCAATGGTCATAGAGCAGAACTGCATCATGGACAGGCTAAATGGAAAATGGTAGATCCTCTGATTTCAGGGCTGCAGGACTTAACTCTTAATTCTGACCTAGAAATGTTGGTGGAGCAGTGATCTTTACAGAGGTGGTAACTAGCCTTAAACAATGGCAAATGTGTACACTTTAGGCAAACTACAAAGGAAGGATAAATAGGTTAATAGTAAGTAGAATTTTCAGGGCTCGAAGAATCAACTTGAGTGTGGTTTTACCATATTTGAGCATGGTTTTATCATATTTGAGCTCCACTGCACTTTTGTACTTGGTCTAAGAAAAAATCAACTGGCCTTTCGACAACTGAGAAACCTTTTGTGATAAAGCAGGGGTAAGTCCTGGGAGAGTTTGTAAGCAGAATTTTGTCAGAATTGATCATTCTTACTCGAAAATTAATTGTACTCCTCATTGTTTATTGCTTGGTAGAATTAAGACCAAAAAGTGGGTAAATGTTGCAGTGCTTTGAAGAGGAAACTAGCATAGGAGTCCTGAAGATAGGGGCCAAGCCAGATTTCTCGTCTGTGAGTACTTTGGGGCTAGCCTTAGGCTGCTTAAGACCTCAGGCAGACATTTTTTTTTTTTTTTTGCATCTCTTTCCATATGTGTAATTTGATTTAGCAATGTAGATGTGTTAGTACTACTCACATAGCCCAATTTCCAATGATCCTAAGAAGTAAATACTACAAAGTCTAAGGGAGGTAATTTGATTTTTCAAGGAGCCTGTGCAGTCCTAAGATGATCCTATAGGCAAAAGTTCTAGAGTTCTTCAGGACCTTTGGGAAATGCCATGTGGGGCAGAGATCAGAGGGTGCCCTGAAGGGAAAATATAGGAATCAGAGACCCTTGTGGAATCCACTCAGACAGTACTGCCAGTTCTCTCCAGTCCAAAGCAATCTGGAAAGTTTTGAGGAAAGCCAGTCAGAGTGCAAAGACCACTAGAGTAAATGCCTTGGGGGTGGGGAATTTCCCTTTTCTGGCGCAAAGAATATTACTGAGCTACTTTAAAATGTTCTTAAGAGGAATAAATTAGAAAATCCCCTCCAGTCCAAAGCAATCTGGAAAGTTTTGAGGAAAGCCAGTCAGAGTGCAAAGACCACTAGAGTAAATGCCTTGGGGGTGGGGAATTTCCCTTTTCTGGCGCAAAGAATATTACTGAGCTACTTTAAAATGTTCTTAAGAGGAATAAATTAGAAAATCCTCGTGACTTACTTAGATATTTCCTTGGAGACCATCAGCAATCAATTGGTGTTAGATGGCTAATGAATGATACCCACCCAGTATTCACAAGCTGTGCCAACTAAACCAATCTTTATATACACTCCAGTCAGGTGACTGTATTTTTATTTTCATTGGTTTATAAGTAGTTAAGCATGATTCATGATGTTTGGTAGAATGGTCATAAATCTTTTTCTTCTAAATAATCATGACCCTGACCTTGGAATTTTGGAATTCCAATGTGAACCTCCTTCCCTTATTCCAAAGAGGAGGAAATAAAAAGGCAAGACATTAAAGTCAATGATTTTGTGCTGCTAAGAAGTAGATGGTTGCCAACAGAATAGGGAACAATTTTTGTAATCTATCCATCCGACAAAGAGCTAATAACCAGAATCTACAAATAACTTAAACAAATTTATAAGAAAAATCAGCCCCATCAAAAAGTTGGCAACGGATATGAACAGACACTTTTCAAAAGAAGATAGTTATGCAGCCAACAAACGCATGAAAAAAAGCTCACCATCACTGGTCATTAGAGAAATGCAAATCAAAACCACTACGAAATACCATCTCATGCAAGTTAGAATGACGATCATTAAAAAATCAGTAGACAACAGATGCTGGAGAGGATGTGGAGAAATAGGAACGCTTTTACACTGTTGGTGGGAGTGTAAATTAGTTCAGCCATTGTGGAAGACAGTCTGGCGACTCCTCAAGAATCTAGAACTAGAAATACCATTTGACCCAGCAATACCATTACTGGGTATATACCCAAAGGATCATAAAACATTAATGTATAAAGACACATGCATACATATGTTTATCAAGGTAATGTTTGCAATAGCAAAGACTTGAAACCAACCCAAATGCCCATCAATGATAAACTGCATAAAGAAAATGTGGCATGTATACACCATGGAACACTATGCAGCCATAAAAAAGATGAGTTCATGTCCTTTGCAGGGACATGGATGAAGCTGGAAACCATCATTCTCAGCAAACTGACACAAAGACAGAAAACCAAATACCACATGTTCTCACTCATAAGTGGGTGTTGAGCAATGAGAACACATGGACACAGGGAAGGGAACATCACACATTGGGACCTGCTGGGGGTCAAAGATGCTAGCAGGGGGAGAGGAGAGGGTGGGGAAATTGGGGAGGGATAGTATTAGGAGAAATACCTAATGTAGATGATGGGGAGATGGATACGGCAAACTACCATACCATGGGTATACCTAAATAACAAACCTGCATGATCTGCACATGTACTCTAGAACTTAAAGTATAATAATAATAATAATAAAGAAGAAGTAGATGGTTGCATTTAGGTGGTCTAAAGTTACATAGTGGTGTTTGGCAAAACGTATATCCCCTTTGCAGCTCAAGCCCTTTATTTTGAATAAATTGTCATAAGTATAAATGAGTCTTTTACATTGTGATGGTGCCCTCTCACATGGTGCTTTCTTGTCTTTGCAGATCCCCCAGATCAGTTATGCATCAACGGCACCCGAGCTAAGTGATGACCGCCGCTATGACTTCTTCTCTCGTGTGGTGCCGCCCGATTCCTTCCAAGCCCAGGCCATGGTAGACATTGTAAAGGCCCTTGGCTGGAATTATGTGTCTACTCTCGCATCCGAAGGAAGTTATGGAGAGAAAGGTGTGGAGTCCTTCACGCAGATTTCCAAAGAGGCAGGTAGGATGAGATTGTTCTGATCAAGTTGGCTCTCTTCAAATGTCTGTGGCTTGTAGAGGTCTCTTCAGACTTTAAAACACTACAGACTCTCACATTCCCAGAGTCCTGTGAAGTTCATCTGTCACATCTTCATTTGTAAGAATTGTTTTTTTTTTTTTTTTTAAGAGATTTTGAAGTTGCGAAACCGAGATTCCTTGAGTACTAATAGAATAAATGAAAAAAAGATATACTAAAATTAACATCTTACTTCTGCAAAATTGGTAATAGGGTGGATTCTAGCCTATGTATGAAAACGTGGGAAAATGTGGCTGGACGTGCTTCCCCCATGGAGACTCTTCTCTCTGCCTCTCTCCAAAATGGAGTAAATCATTTAGAATTATGTGAATGCAATCACAGTGCCACTTTGATTCGAAGAATACCTGGAATTCCTCGGAATGACTTGGCCAAAACAAAAGTAAATAAATTATCCAGGCAGTAGAATGTATTTAGACAAATAGTCTTTCAAACTTCAGATTATTTTGAGACTGTTCTCTTTAGCAGCACTTGGAGAAGATTCTATGTTTGTTTATTTAGCTCCAATTGAAGTAATGGGTTCAAATGTTTGGCCAGCTGCCTTCCATTGGGCAGATTTTGAAAAATGAGACAAAATTCTCACACTTAGAAACTCTGACAATAGCTATTCAGGTTTCCCCATATGGGTGTATTAGATATGGTAAATACATACAAATATGCATGCTTAGATATTCCCATACAGTTCTTATGTTAAAATTGGGTGCTCAGTGTTGTTTGTAAGCATTTCATGCAATTTAAATTGTTATTTACCAGTACAGTTTACTGACCGTGAAAGCAAACAATCAAAGCAATAGAAAGAGAGCTCCATGTTATAAGGAGAGATGTCATAAATTCTGAAAATATAGCTTCAAGTATTTGACTGTCAGACTACAGATATTCTCAGACATACATAATGCTTCCAGACATGGATGACGCTAAAAGAAAGAAGCTAGGGCTATTTTATAAATCCCATGTTTGTTTGTGTGTGTGACAGAGTCTTGCTCTGTCACTCAGGATGGAGTACAGTGTTGTGATCTTGGCTCACTGCAACCTCTACCTCCCAGGTTCAAGCAATTCTCCTGCCTCAGCCTCCTGAGTAGCTGGAACTACAGGCACAGCCTCCTAAGTAGCTGGAACTACAGGAAAGAAGGAGGGGAAAAACGAGAATTTTGTCTCATTTTTCAGAGTTTCTAAGTGTGAGAATTTTGTCTCATTTTTGTATTTTTAGTAGAGATGAGGTTTCACCATGTTGGCCAGGATGGTCTCCATTTCTTGACCTCGTGATCCACCTGCCTTGACCTCCCAAAGTGCCGGGATTACGGGCATGAGCCACTGTGCCTAGCCAATCTCATGTTTTTAATTCAGTGCATCATTAGCTGTAATTTCAGAACTTCACAGGAGATCTGTGACATACATTCTTATACTCTTCCTTCTTTTTTTTTTTTTTTTTTTTTTTTTTTTTTTTTTTTTTTTTTTTTGAGACGAAGTTTCGCTCTTGTTACCCAGGCTGGAGTGCAATGGCGCGATCTCGGCTCACCACAACCTCCACCTCCTGGGTTCAGGCGATTCTCCTGCCTCAGCCTCCTGAGTAGATGGGCTTACGGGCACGTGCCACCATGCCCAGCTAATTTTTTTGTATTTTTTTTTTAGTAGAGACGGGGTTTCACCATGTTGACCAGGATGGTCTCTATCTCTCGACCTCGTGATCCACCCGCCTCGGCCTCCCAAAGTGCTGGGATTACAAGCTTGAGCCACCGCGCCCGGCCATACTCTTCCTTCTAACTTAACACGGCTGACTAGATAGCTTCTAATAATTGTCAAGTCTTGTCCTGACCAGCAATTCTAGGTTCAAATGCAGCACTCACAAAAAATTCCTTTGTCTTGTTGACTTGGTCTTACATTTCTAGTGTCTTCTCCCACAGCACTTATCACGGGTTAGTATAATTTTTTATTTATTGGTTATTTTTTTTTTTTCTATCATCAAGACTATATAAGACCATGTCTGTCTCATTTCTACTATGGCTCCAGGTGACACATTCTTAAGGGAAAAATTGATGCTGTAACTCAGTTAGAAACTTCTTGATTAGGAAAGAAATCTTAACTCTGGCCTTGTGGCATTCTGTGATGTATAGGACTCATTAACAATTGACTTCATAAATCCCCAAAGAGGTATCTAATCATTTTTGATGACTATGTTTTTATTTCTTTCTTTGTTTTTCTGAATCCTGTGTTGATCAAACTAAGGCTGGAGGCTGACTTTGAAAAATATCTAAAATATCAGGATAGAATAAAATGGATAAAATACGATGAAAATATGGGTAAAATAATAAGGTAAAGCTTAGATATAAAGGGCAGATGCCATTTTGCACTATATAATTGTTAAAAGTGATCCTCAAATTTAACACTGCACTTTTATTTTTATTTATTTACCTTATTTTATTATATATATATATTTTATTACATTTTAGGTTCTGGGGTACACGTAAAGAACATGCAGGATTGTTGCATAGGTACATACATGACAATGTGGTTTGCTGCCTCCATCCCCATCACCTATATCTGGCATTTCTCCCCATGTTATCCCTCCCCAACTCCCTACCCGCTACTGTCTTTCCTCTAGTACCCGCTCCCGCCCTCCGCCACAGACCTCGGTGTGTGATGCTCCCCTCCCTGTGTCCATGTGCTCTCATGGTTCAACACCTGCCTATGGGTGAGAACATGCAGTGCATGATTCTCTGTTCCTGTGTCAGTTTGCTGAGAATGATGGTTTCCCGGTTCATCCACGTCTTTTAACTGGATGAAGCAAGGGCAAGACAGTGCCCATTCTGTTACAAGATTTACAGTGTTCATGAGGTGAAAGTCGAGTTGAAGGTTCTGTAAAGTACAGCTTTCCTTGCCTTGGGATGAAGAAAAACGTTTGCTTTGGGTGTGTATAAAAAACTATATTCTATAGCAGGCGTCCCCAAACTATGGCCCGCGGGCCGCATGTGGCCCCCTGAGGCCATTTATCCAGCCCCCCGCCGCACTTCAGGAAGGGGCACCTCTTTCATTGGTGGTCAGTGAGAGGAGCACAGTATGTGGCGGCCCTCCAACGGTCTGAGGGACAGTGAACTGGCCCCCTGTGTAAAAAGTTTGGGGACGCCTGTTATAGAGAGGTCAATGGTGACTTTCATATGGTTGTTTATTCCTGGTGTCATTTAATAGAAACTTAAGACACTAATATTTGAGTTTGCTATTACATAGAATGACTCTGCAAAAAGGAAAAGTTATTATATGATCTGAACTCTCTAGCTTATATTTTTGGCTAATCCTATCCCAGCTAAAAAATAAAGATTCTATCAGTGGTAGCCATTTTGAACGTAATCTTCCCATCCTAGAGCCTTTCCCCTTGAGGATGGGAGTAGCTAAAAAGCCAGCTGGTGCTGCAGAAATTCAATGAACCAGTGAACATTTAGGTGATGTCTTGAAGATTAATACCTTTTCAAGGTATTAATAATAAGTATTATGGTATTTGGTATTTATTTATAATAAGCATTTAATAAGTACTCTTGTACATATAGCATTTGATATGTTTGATAATAAGTTTAATAAGTATTCTTTTATATGTATTATGGTATTTGGTGCATACTTATAAAGTTCATCAGAACTATATCACATGTACAGGTGATTTAGATGCATTAGCTTATATGCTAAGCAAACATCCCTTCTTTTAAAAGGAAAGAAGGAGAGGAAATTAGTTTAAATGGTGTGGAGTAAGTTTGCTCAGTTTTGGTATGGCCTAGAGAACCCATGAACTACATTCAGTGAGTTACATTTCTGTGGGCCTCTCATGATGCCTGTATCTTGCTGCTGCAAAGCTGATTCTGGTATTTAAAGACACACATCCCTTGACCTCTAAAAATAATCCGTCTCCTTCCTCTGATACTCAATTGAAGAAAAAATTGAACATGAAAATAAAAGAAAAACTTATCTATTGGAATTTCTGGTCAGTATACATGGTTAGGGAATTCTCCATGGTAATTTTAAATGCTCACTTTTTCTTTACTTGCAGGCTCAAAAAGCCCTCAAAAAAGTTATAAACCCTCTGTGTATGGGTAGGTGAGGTGACATGGCACAAACAAAAGTGAGCACACTGGTTATGGTGTCGGAAAAACCTGGATTTGAATAATGGACTCCAACATTTTCTTATTTTAACAATTTTGACACATGATTTAACTTTTCAAGCCTGAACTTCCTCATAGAAAGAATGAAATTAATGATTTCTACTTCATCAGGGTGGTAGAATATATAAGATGATGCATGGGGAAGCATTTAATACCGAACAATATCTGATTACAGTGCATCACATTGGGTCCCTATATATAAGTAGAGTTGTTTGAACCTGAAAACTTTGAAAGTACTTGAGTAATAGATGTTATCTGCCTTGAGTTGTCATTAGAGGGTTATTTTTAAGTTGCGTTATTCTTATTAACATGCTCTTACCATGTAAAATGGGTAAGAAGAAAAGTGAGCTATTTGTATTGCCCTATGTCTGTAGAATATGTGTATGTATATATGTGTGTGAGAGAGAGAGAGAGACAGAGAGCGAGCGAGAGAGAGAGAGAGAGTGCATAGACTCAATGACGTTGTTTCTGTGTACCACTGGCAGCTTGGAAGGATTTATTTGCATTCTTTCTGAACAGTTTGACTTTGAAGATTGTGATTCTTTGCCTTCTCACCCTTTTAGAATGCTTTAGCTTCAAAATTTACTTTAGACTTAAATCCTGAGGCAGAGGCTACTTTTACACCAGAGCCTAAAGCGTCTCTACTACGTACACTGTCACAGTGCACGGATGAGTGCCTCTTCATTATTTTCTGATAGAACAAATCAAGACAATGATGTCAGAGAAAAGAAGGCATCCTTTAACAGAGGCCATGTAATTGGTTTAAAACATGGAAGTCTAGGCACA